CGCATGACGTTTTACATTTGTGCTCGATAATAACGTCAAGTCGCTGAGATAATTTCTTCGTATACGATGTCATTCGTTACTTTATGTTAATAACAAATAATTATAGTGTAATGGTACGCGTGTTCCAGATATCTGATACGGCGGATACAAGCTGCGTGATTATCTTCGACGTTGCTTTTCGATTCGTTTCAATTACTCACGCATTTCGGCTGCGTTTCGAAACGTTGTTTAAATATTAATTTCGTGTACGTATTCTTAAATGCTTCTGATTGCAGCGTCATTATTTTATTTGGGAGGAGGAATTTTGGGAGAGTATCATTGTCGTCTAGAAAAAAATCGTTTTTCAGGGATTTTTTGTAATTTTTTTGTATTTTTGGTAGTAAAAATGGTGTTATAAGACATAAAAACACTTTTGTGATTATTTGAAGTAATTTTACGCTTGGTACTTGAGTTGAAATATTCAGAAATGCCATATTTTGGTATAAAATTAACAAATTTCCATGTAAAAGTAATTTTAAAAGAACGAGAGGAAGAAAAACTGTATTTTCTTAATATTGAAATCTATAATATAAAAATGAATCGCAAAATCTGTTGGTAAGCGCATAACTCAACAACGCCTAAACCAATTTGGTCAATTCTTTTTTTTAATGTTTGTTTAAGTCCAAGGATGGTTTTTACGGCGAGAAAAATTCGAATAATTGTCGGGAAAACCCTAAAGACAGCTCTATTCTATAGGATAAAAGTTGACATTGAGATTCAATTATAGTTATAGTTAAATAGTTGAATCCGAGATGGCGCGCTGAAGTGCATTATAAGCAATTCTTTATATAATTATTTTCTTTAAAATAAAATTGCGCATCTTATTGATAGAATTAACACATATTATGTCTAGAACAAGACAGTAATAAAGAACATTTTTATTAAACACTACCGGCAAGAAGTCGCGGGCAAAAACTAGTTTTTTATAGTTATTTCTAATTTTTGATAGTAAAAACACTTTTGCGATTAGCTGAATTAATTTTACGCTTGTTACATAAACTGAAGTATTCAGAAATATAATATTCTTGGATAAAATTAACAAATTTTCAACGAGAAGAGGAAAAACAGAATTTTTTCAGATTTGCAAATTGTAATGATAAAAAAAGATTTATTGTCTTTTTTCTATATTAATTAAGTAACTGTGAACTAAAACTTCCAATAAATAATTTTGTGGAAACAAATTTCACAAATTATAGACATTTTTACTTTGCACCGTACTTTCTTAATAAAACAAGATTAAATCAAGTTTTTAGTTGTAGGTATATTTGTGTGTTTAATATCCCAAAAGCTATTTAAAACCAAAATATTTAAGGAAAACCATGTAATATGTTTGTGTAGATTGTAATATTCGTAATCGCGCTTCGATCTGCGTTCCCAGCAGCCAATTAACATGCGCCGGAATAAAATCAAGAATGTTCAATGTCCGAGATTGAATCGCGATTATTTCCACAGAAACAAGTAGCGAAAATTTGATTCAAAAGTCAATGCGCACACCAGGTGGTCCGCGATCAAACTCGCATTACACTCGTACGAAATCTAATAAAGACGTTTTTCGATCAAGTCACTACATATTGCCACAACCGCACCAGCCTCACTTGGCTCGCTTTTCTCACGATAAGTAATTCGATCCGCATGCGCGTCATTAAATCGACCAGGTTGAAGTTTCTCGAGAAAAAAACTCAAAACTTAAACAAGATGATACACGAAGCGAAACATTTCACTCGCTGAGTTATGCGGCACGAAATTGCTGTTGAAATATGTTAAAACTGCAGCCGCATAAATGAGACATTAAGAAAACAACAAGGTGAAATTATAAGGTCGTTATGATAATAATTCAGAGCGTTTTCAGCGTGCGCAGCTTGCACGCTGCATGTTTGCACATTTACCCGATGAAATATATTTTGAGTTTGCGTGTTGTCTGCATTTCGTGTCCGAATTTCGCACGCATCATCTCCCGCTGACGCTGAGGAGATAACTCGATAATAAATTTGTTATGCTGACACTGTCACCACCGAAACCTACAAAAATAATTTACCAGCAGCACAAAAAACGCTTCGACATGCACCTTAAAATTATGCGTGTTTTTTATGTCGAATTTAGTCAGGATCCCAGCCTCCAGCACACGCAACATGTCCTTAGATGTAAATACATTTTCGACGTCGTGGCACTCCTTAGATAAAAACAAGGTATAATGAGGCGCGGTGTGTTCACGCGCACCAACTAAACTAATGAACATGTGTGTGTGTGTCTTATCGGCCCTTCGATCGCGAAGAAATAATTCTCGTGCGCGGCGCGTAGGACGACCGCCGACCAAAACCAGTAGCCATTATTTAGACCGCATCCAAACATCGAATAAAATTCTAACGCTGTGTTCAATGATTTAATTGGGCATGATCTATATGTGTCGATAATTAAATTATTTTCTTCAAATGGTAATCAAAAGCAACCATTTTTTGCCATCGGAGTGCTAATGAAATGTGTTTTTATAGGTTGGCATGCTGAATTATTCTCTAATTGAAAATGTGAGGCTTGCCTTTTAAGTCGTTGCTTAATTAATTACTTAAACAGCTTCAAACTTGACAGGAGAAAATTAACAGATGGTTCTGTATGAGAGACGCGAGGCAATTGTGGTATGAAACTATTTTTACAACGCGGAACGAACTGCATGGAGACTGTTACGTGAAATTGCCGAATTAATAAATCAATTAATAAAACTTTTGCCATGCGGCACAAATATTGATTCAGTCATACATTTTCTATTTATTGGTGTAACAATTATAATATTATTGGCATATAGGTATTATTATTTTGTATGAAATATCAACTCAATTGATAATAATTTTATTATTTGTTTGTTTGTTACGCTTTCACGGCTAAACCGCTGAAGTGATTTTAATAAAATTTGTTATGGTGATGTATTAGGGTGGAGGTTATAATATTGACTAGTTTTTGTTGCAAAATTGTTTTAAGGGGTAAAATAAGAGATGAAAGTTAATTTGAAGATTTAGTTATAGTTTAAGTTGTATAATTCACATCCAGATGGCGCTAAAATGCACTTTTTTGTATAAAACTATTTTCGTGTAAAAATTTTATTATTTTCTTATTTATTTAAATAAAATTGTGAATTTTATTAACTTTTAATTTCATGTTTATCTATAAATAAAAGTTGAACATGATTGAAGTATTGAGCATTTTTGTTTTCGCATGTTTCTTGCCGATATTGATTAAAATGCAATTTCGCCTTCCTTCTGATAGCAACGCAATCAATGTCACACAGAAATTATGTTTACACTAACAATAAAACGTGGGCATTCGCGTATAAAATTTGAATTTACTCCGTTGGGAACACTTGTATACACAGCGCGTAGAAAATGCAACAAACCCAATATGATTAGCAGCGAGTAATTTCAGTTATTTCCACCAATTCGAGTAACAACCATTCATTGTCACGCTCAATTTGATCAATCTATCCGAACAAAAAGCAATTAATTAAAACATTAATAGTGTTTACCTTCAGATACAGCGGATCGGTGTGAGAAGTGAAATTAAATCTCCGGTTCTATCACAATGCGAACACAAAACACAATGTTTATGATTTAAAATTTCAAACACACATTTGCGCCGTCGTGCTAGCCGCAGGAGTAAGCCATAATTCACGATAATTGCTTAAATGGTAATTGTTAAAAACTGGTCTAACCTTAAATCTTCACTGAGCACATTTTATCCACCGCACTCGTCTAACTACTTTTCTAGCTGCGCGCACCGAAGATGACGACTGAATAGAGATGAATAAAATGTTGTAGAGTTTTGAGGTATTCACAACGCATGCGTGCAGGTATTTCGTGCGTGGTTATTTAAACAATGCAAGTAAAATCATTTATCTTATGTGCATTTTAATTATGATTATTCATATCGATTCTTTATTACTATTTAAAAATTTCATTAAAATTTTGATGCAGAGAAAACTATGATTATTAATGTTTGAATAAATATGTAATTACTACAACAAATTTAGAGTTATTCGTAAATTACTTTAAAAATTCTATTCAGTGTCTAAATCTTGACCTAACTAAGAAAAAACATTATCAAAAACTTTATTATTTTATGAGTTATTTCAACAAATGTAAAGCAACTGTAAAATTATTAAAATTCAACTTCAGTTGTATGTAACTCAAAATCAATTAGTTTGATTAACAATTTTTTGTATGATTTAGACGTATAATTTAATGACAAATCCAAATTAGCAAAAATAATTAGCTTTTTGTTAATAAGTTTTGAGTAATTAAATAATTAAATCAATATTGCATCAAAATCTCGACTTTTTTTTGTCATACTTCAGTAATTAGTAAATTACTTAAAAACTAATCAATATTTAATCATAATTTCTTCAAAAAATTCTTGATTATTAAATTTTTGACCCTTTTATTTCCATAATTACAACTCAATTTATATGACCGTTCAAAATAAATATAAAAAAATCTATTTATTTGTTTATATCTTTTGATGCCATTATCTAATCTCTAAAATTTTTGGAATTTGCATATAAAATTTAATATAACACAGATTTTTAATAAAATTCAAATTTTATTGCGAATAGTTTTCGTGAAATTAATAACTATAACTATGAAACTATCATTATCGCGCCGCGTAAGTACACGCCAAGATTATAATTAATTAATAAACATAAAATAAACGACGCTGCATGTTTCAAGATAAAAGCAATTAGCCCGATGCGAGTTAATTAATGGAAGAATTATTTTTTGCGGCCCGCCGCCGATAAGATCGCACAAACGCAAAGACATTTCTTGCGTTATGCAAGCGTTCTTTTAATCTTAATTAAAAATTTATTACATTTTCGATGGTGTTCATTAAGAAATTGTGCAAATTCGCAAAAATCAACAAAATTTCATATAAAAAAATAAACTCAACTTAATTGGCTTATAAAACAATTATTGACTTACTTGTGATTGGAAAAGTCTTCGAAACGTATCCTTAGTATATCGCACTTCATTCGAGATGATAGCGAAGCATTGTCGTAATTGTGCCATATGCAATCGCTCACGAAGATTCTCCTCTTCCATGCTAGACATTGGCACCAAACTCTTCCTTCGCTCCGCGAGTTTTTCATCGGCGGTTTTTTCATTTCCATCAACGTCATTCTTATGGGGTCGGGAATGTCGCCGTGGAACAACCGGCGTTGTGTCCGGCGTGTTCTCCTCGGCGATCGTGGTGATCGGTGGCTTATCCATTGCGCAATCAAGTTAAATCCACATCAATTCCAGCGTCCGCGCACACCGCGGCCGTTTAACAGCGTTTTTTATTATTAATTTATGCCTCCGCCGACGAAGACGAAGACGCGTTGTGTGTCACTGCCGATATTTTTTCTAACTGCGCGCGGATTTCTATTATTTTTACGATTGAACGCGACTAGAGGCCAACGCGGTGAGTTGATTGTAAAATCATGTTATTCGAATGCAGAAGATGAAAGCAGTGAAAACAGGAATTGAATTCGACGATGCTGGAAATTGAATGCGAATCGTACGCGATTTAAGCGGGTATCAAACGCGTCGAAGGAGGCGAGAGCGTTTGGCGGTCGTTCTTCGTCACTTGTTGCTCTACGGTTAACTGGCAGGCTGCGGCGGGCTAGAAGACAAGAAACACAAGAGGTCGGGCCGCTCACCTGCTAACACCTCGGGGTGGGACGCATGTGGTGTGTGTCTTAGGTGATTACAACTGAACTCCAGATGTGTTCAGGGTACGGACTTACACAATTATTACTTACACCGCAAACCACTTTATAATTTAATATATTTCTGATGTCTGTTAATCAATAAATAAAATTACGTAAAATTTATTATCACGAAATTGATATGGCGAATTGACTAAAAGTAAGTAATTTCAGTTTAATGGTTGTCCGAAACGGAAATATCACTCACACGCAATTAATTCAGATTTAATCAGAAATTTTACGATTTTACCTTCTAAATTTACTCTCAGCGGTCGAGTATTACCCACCTTGAACTACTTAATTGTCAAATTGCAAGCAATGATGATTTAACTTATGTAAAATTAAATATATAAATAAATATGTGTAGATTATGCATTATCTGAAAGTGTAATGAGACCTTAAACGATGCATGTGAATAAAATGAAATTTAAATGATTTTTATTTGCTGCACCCACCGCAATTAAACGCGCAATGGATCGTAGCGAGTAAAATCGTATAATTGAATTTGTTACGCAGAACGTGTGGATACGCCTATTGCACATTGTTCTTCAACATAATATATGATTTATGCACCTGGTTAGCATGCGGTAAAATGGCGTGCAAACAAAAGTCATTAATTTAATACGTTACGTATGCAACCAAATGCGCACACGGGCTTGATTTCCAATAGCGAATTCGGTGCTTTATGTATGCCATTTTGTTGCTTATCAATTTAAATTCACAATTTACCACAGATCGTTATTCTCTGTATAAAACTAGATTTATGTCGTTGCTGGCTTTTAATAGTATACGAGGCCGAGACGATCGCCGCGGGCTCGAAAGAGAGAGAACATCAACTACAGCAGCACAGGATACTGTGGGACAGGACATTGTTATACCTGGCCATGCGACCAGCGCGCAAATCCTGAGATAAGTGCGACGTTAGTGATAAGATGGCCAGCGCGCTTGCGGTTGCGCTGCTGGCGCTCCAGATCATTGGGGGCAGCTTGCGTGTGAACGGCGCCGGTGACGGATGCAAGGGCCGCTTTTACAACCTCCGGCGACATGTGAACTTCCCGCGTTTGCCGATGGACACTTGCGGTGAGAATAACGGCGATCGCATCGTCGGCGGGCAAGCGGCGGCGCTCGGTGAATTTCCCTGGATGACGCGTATTGGTTACAAGCTGGAGAATTGTTCTTCACCGGTTGAGTACCGATGTGGCGGCGCGCTTATCACAGCCAATGTTGTGATCACCGCAGCGCATTGCACCACCAATCTACCGATTAATCAGTGTAAATCATCCGGAACCTACAACACATACTATCCGTAAGTTATTTCTGCATACGCACATTGCACACGAATATTGATTTGAATTTGAAGTCATTCGGTGCGCTTGGGCGAACATCTCATCAAATCCGATCCGGATTGCGAGCAGAATGTTTGCGCTGCAAAGGTGCAAGATATTGACATCATTGAGGTCATCGTGCATCCCTTGTACAACACACCAAAACTACGCAATGACATCGCCATTCTGAAACTAAGAAGGAATGCTATTTTTAACGGTATCATTTTTACCATATCCGGTGAGTGATTGTGTTAATAACCACTTGTTTGCAGGTTGGGTAAATGCATTGTGCTTGATAGCCGATAGCCGTGTGACGATCCAACGTTATATCAATCAGACTGGTATTGTAGCTGGATGGGGCATAATTAACACAAAAACTCATGAGTTGAGTAAGAAATTGATGAAACTGCGAATTCCGATTCTTCCGATCGAGCGTTGTATGGATGCGTACAGGGATCGTGCGAATCTTTCAGCGAGAGAACAAGTGTGCGCAGGCGGTAATATTGGACAAGATTCCTGCTCGGGTGATTCCGGTGGCCCGTTGTTCATCATCGATGACTACGATGGCGGACCCAGATATAGAATGTTGGGTATTGTCTCGTTTGGATTCAAGAAGTGTGCGGTTAAACCCCTGCCCGCTGTTTACACCAATGTCCTGTATTATGGAAAGTGGCTTATGAATAATATATTTTAATCTTGAATCCCCACTGAATACCTGGGTTGATAATAAATTTCTTTAACTTTTATTATAGGAAAAAATGATTATTAAATGGTTTTGTAGACGTGGTTATGTATAATATTTTGTAGGTTAAACAGATGGCAGTGGTGTAAGTGTGTAACCAAAGTTGCCTATATTGTGCAGAAAAAGAAATTTCTTAATTATTTTTTTATTATATTTAATTTTGTGTGATACCTACGTGGTTAACTAGTGAATTACGAGTACTTAAAGTGTGGAAATAAAATAAATTCATGAATTTGTTCCGTTTATTTCTTATCGCGCAAACTTGCATTACGTTTAATGATTGGTTCATTAAAATGTGATAATTTTAAATATATTTCAACGCCTACAGGCAATCAATTCGCTGCAGGAATTATTTGCGAGCATGCAGCGTGTCCGTACGATATCGCGTCGATAATATAACAAAATGATGTATACGGATGCGTTTGTTGAAGCCGGAAACTAAGCACGACTTAAGCCACATCGCCGAATAAAAATACACATTCATGCTTGGCGGTGGCAGCAGGAGCGCGATTTTGAGGTTGAGGTTTATTTACTGCGTGCGCCCGCCGGCTCCAGTCGGATGCAGCGCTTCTCTAAGAATAAATCGCGACCTACGCTCGGCGCGCGTAGAGACGCCGCGCCGCTGAAAAAGTGCGCGAGTGCATCAGTTCGTTAACTATGACCAGGCTCACGGTGGCGATACGCGTCCGCCCGTTATCGGAAAGGTGACAAGTGTTGTGTAGTTATTACCTTTTATCCGCACACATCGATGCGCTACTACGCATGCGCAACTTGCAACTAGCAGCAAAATCGCACATTTTATGCTTTTGCCCATGCTTATTCAGGTTAATGTCGCTGCGTACTAATATCACAAATGTCAACTAAAATAAATACTAAGTAAACCTCGTTTCCACGAACAAACTATAACTTATTTATATTTACGTAGTAAACCACTCACTAAACACTTTCATCTGTTTGTTGATATTAATAGATGTGTGGTGTTTTAATTAGTCTCACGCTGTTTTATTTGATTTGATTGCGTTTTTTAGATTTGATGCTGAAAATAAATAAAATGTTCTAACGCTTGGAATGCGAAAGCGCCACTGTGTCGTAAATATCCATCGCCTAGGCCAGACAGCGACGGTGCACGTTGAAAGCTTTTATATTTCGCATTGCATTTTCCGTTTCCATCTGCTTGCAGAGTTGCAGCGCGCAGTGAGTAAACAAAGAAGACTTGGATGTGTCTTCGCGGCGGAAGCGACGGCTAAAAATACCATAATCCCATTGATTTACACACGACGCGTGTCACCCCTTGTTTACTCACACCCTAAATTTAAATTAAACAACTTAGAAACATTTATGTTACTTGACATTGTTTTTTATGTAATTATAGAGAATTATCCAGTAAATCCGTATCGATTGTCTCGGTTGAGAATGAAAAGACTCTCGCTGTGACGAACACAAAGGTAATATAATTATATTAATGTTTATATTTGAAGTAAAATGCGATTGAAATTAAAATTAATAACTATAACGGAGTTTGGCGCAGCAATAACTTGTCATAATTTAAGGCGTCACGTCGACTTTTCGGAAAGTCCTTTGATCTAATTCCGTCTTGCAGGTACCCGAACAGAATGCCGGAGACAGCAGGGAGCGCGTCCGAAGATTCAACTTCGACTACTGCTTCAATTACCAGTCGAGCCAGGAAGACGTATGCGCGACTATAATTAGGCTGCGGCGCTGCGCCGAAAAACATTTTTTTAATTTTTCTCCTGCTGTCGTAGGTGTACCGGAAAATCGGCGAGGAGATCGTCGCCGGTGTGCGGACGCGCGTGCACTCGTGCATTCTAGCGTACGGCCAGAGCGCTTCCGGGAAGACGCACACCATGATCGGCGACGCGCCCCACGACGAAGGCGTCGTGCCACGTCTGTGCCAGCACTTTTTTAATTATCTCATGCAGGCTGCCATTGGCAGCGAGTTGGAGGACATTCACGCTAGCGTCAGGTGTGTAGCTAAATGAAAAACAAATCGTCTACGAAAATGGCGGAAAACGACCTTTTGTACATGATTGGCAAAAAAGGAAATTGTCACAGGTTTATAATCAAACGTAATTACACACAGGAATTTACCGCAATGCCGCGCATTGTTATCAATTTACGTTGATATGGAGCGTGAAATTAAAACTGGAAAAAATAAATCGTGGGAAATGAGTTTTTTGGATTGTTCACGTCCCGCGCGCAAATTTCGCGTGACACGTCGAATTGCGAAATGACTCGAAATTGATTTTTCGAGAGGAGCAAAACATCGTGTGCCGAAAGCAATTGTTAGAAATGACGGGGTTACACTTCGTTGTGTTTTCGAAGGGTCGCAACGCGCCAAAATCACGAAAGTTGAAGCTTCGTGCCGTAATAACTTTAAACACTTTCCGCCGAGTTTTCTACACTTTCCGAATAGATTATTTCGTTCAATTTGCGCGTTATTCGCGTCGCACGCAACTTGAAAACATCCAAAACTTAAACCAACATTATTAATGTCGGTCTATCGTGTGCGAGTAATTATTTGCGCATTTATCTTTTAGTTTTTTGGAAATCTACAACGAAAAGGTACGCGATTTGCTCAATCCCGCTGCGGGTAATGTCCTACTCAAAGTTCGGGAACATCCAAAGACAGGGCCGTACGTTCAGGGTAATAACCAGATGTTTATTTCTATTTATTTAAGTTGTAATTGTTGTTGGTGTATTTGTAGGATTATCCGAACAAACTGTATCAGATTCCAGCGCTTTGCTGTCGCTGCTGCACGCCGGTAACGCGAATCGAACAATCGGCGCAACGAATGCAAATCCAAGATCCAGTCGTAGTCATTCCGTATTCACAATCACCTGCCTCGGCGGGTTGAAATTGAAGTTCGTTGATTTGGCAGGAAGCGAGCGCGCCGCCTCGCACACGACGTCGCGCTTTCGCGAGGGCGCCAACATTAACAAGAGTCTCGTAGCATTACGAAATGTAATTTCCGCTCTCGGTAAGTGCCTTGCTCCTCAATCACAAACAATGCTCCTTGACGCGCACTGATTAGCTTACAATTACAATTCGTTTAAATCGCTTATTCCTACAGCTGACTGGAGTAAACTTTCGAAAGTGAAGAAACGCTTCGTGCCTTATCGTGACTCTGTACTCACCTGGTTACTAAAGGACACCTTGGGTGGAAATTCGAAAACTATATTAATCTCTAGTAAGTATTGAATTTAAACACACATAGAGGCAGATTAAGACTGAAATATTTCTCCAGCGGTCTCCCCAGCAAGCACATGTTATAACGAGACAGTAAATACGCTGAGATTCGGGCAGCGCGCCAAACAAATCGCAGTCCAGCCGATTCTCAATGAAGACCCCAAGGAGAGGACCATCCGAGAGCTGCGCGCCGAAATAGCCAAACTTAGAGAACTGCTCGATCATCACGTACACGTAAGTTGTCTAGGCGGTAATCTCACGCACGATCGCAAAATGACTGTTTTTCTTCTATTCTTGAAGAAACCTCTGGAGTGTGAAGATACCAGGAACGAAAGTGCTGATAGTGACAGTGGTGTTAGTGTGTGCGAAAATCTAAATTCCGATAATGTATCCGATAAAAGTGTGCAAAAGAATGACTGCAGCATTGTCGCCGTTGAGCGACTCTATCCTCTAATGGAAGTCACCGCTAAAATGGCCGATCCTGATAAGCCGCCATCACGTCCACTTCAACGAACGTTCAGTGTGGATCATCAAGCGGAATCACAAGCAACAAAACGCTATAGTTCACATGAAGTACTACCTACGAATGATAAAGTTAAAAATCAACGCCATTGAGGAAGTTATCGACGGATAAATCCAACTTGTCGTTGAAAAAGGTTGAAGCGAGGCCCAAAATAGATCCGAAGCCAAAAGTGGATTCGCATCGCAAGGCACAGCCTAAACCACGTTCGCAAATTGTCGCTGCTGTCACGCAGCGCCTCTACAACAAAGTGAAGAAGAAAGAAGTCGCCACAGACACGCTGGATCTTAGTAATCCTATACATGAGTTGTCGATTACATCAAAGGCGCGTTTCAGGCTGCAGGAACTCACCCAAAAGGCGCTTAAAGCTCATCGCAGGAAGAATGCCGAAACGCAAACAAGTCTATTTCCAGTTTTGCGTTTTAAAGAATCAGCTACAGATGTAGATGATTTACGCCTGTTAAACGAAGAAATCGCTAACGTAGATTGTGCAACAGACCCTATCAATACTTCTGATGCAACTACAAATTGCAGTTTCCTTGAAACACTTCAGAATCTACAACCGTTACAACCTACAATTGTTTTGACAAGGAGTTGTGGTACATCCACAGAGAATCTAACTGCTTCTAACACTAATAATAATAAACCTGTGATAGAAGATGATGAGAGAGGACGACCTCTGTCATTTACAAAATATTTAATGTCACAACAACAAGCGCCGACGTTCGAAATCGTTAATCCAGCGACAGCGAATCCCATCTACACCTCCTCGGTGAATATCAATGTTAATCATAATTATGGCACGCATGGTGGAAAATCACATGACCTCGAAATGGTAAACGATGCGTTATCTGATGACAGCCTGGAGGAAAGCGAACGCCAAGGGAATGTGTGTTTTCCCACGCCTGATCTCATCAGTAATCACAACTCGTTGGAACCGCACGCAGCGCAATCAACCACAACGAACAACAATAACATGTGTTATGCTATCAGCACCTCGGTCGAAGACAACACGTTGGGATTACTGCCGGAATCTTCTACGAATCACGCGAATGTATGCATTGCAGTTGCGAATTGTTCACTGGAGAATTTGGCTTGTAAAAACGTGGAAACTCAATACGCACCGCAGATGTGTGTGCGTGATGACTTCGATGATGATTACGATATATTTTACAAAGCACCACCGCAGAAATATCGCTCGAATATCGCGCATGATCATCTTCATGATCCAATCCATCCCAGTGAGCCAGTGATACTGAAATCAATCATGAAATGTAGTGATACAATGAGTGATGATTACGATAGTGAATCCTTACATGTGTTTGATAACATTCCCGACTCGTTGAATTATTACTACGAGAAGGGCAGGAAAACTGTGCGGTTTGATTCGCCCACATCAAGTCGCACTTCACAACACCAGCAAGATGAACGTATGATGGACGTGATGGCGGGTTTCATGAAAGAGGTTACCACGTTGATGTCTAACCTCACAAAAGTTGCGAGTCGATTGGACGTGCAGGAAACTGAGCAGAGTTATGATATGCATGTGGTGGTGAATGATATTCAAGGACTGAATAATCTTAAATGTAACCATTGTACACCAACTAGTTCGCAGATTCACCACTTGTCCGAATCCACGCAGACATTGCCGATTTCCACGAGCGATTGTTCCACTGAGATGGAATTCGAAGCGTTCCCAGTGAATAAATTCGAATCGCTGCTGGAGTCGTCATGTAAACGATTGGAATCGACGATTCAGAGAAGTATCAGCAATGTGCACGAGCGGCGTGATGTTTTTAACAGAAACCCGCCGGATTGGAATTACAGAAATGTCCCACCGGATGATTCGAGCATTGAAAGTCAACCGACCTTCTCGGATTATGGTAGTTTACCGCGGCGTCGTAATAGAGCGTCGATTTCGAGTCCGAGTAGTTACTTGAGACAATTGACCAACATGCGTAGGGAGATCGTGAGGACGTCCAGGGACGAATTGCTGCACGAGGCTGACATTCATTTGTGAATACTAACGTAACATAACTAATTTAATGAGTATTTATCTTTTGTATTCAATGACTTTAGTTTATAAGTACTAAAATAATGATTGATATTTGAACGCGAGATTAATAAAACATTAAAACAAAAAATCATATTTTGGAACCAAACATGTAAAAAATGGTAAAATTCTAAAATTGGTGCCTGTTTTTTCGTTGAAGCAGTAGTAATTAAAATATCGATGTTATTGTACCAGGTACGGATAGATCATAACAAACATCGCATTATGACTTCATAAATTTGGTAAGTTTCAAGTTTTAATTAATACACACGTCCCAAAGACTGTTTAACAATGAAAAGTTCTACATATTATAGCCATTAAATGGGTAAAACTTATTCAATTCTTCTATTTTTTAGCAGTCACAATAGTTATTGTATGCAATAGACGCAACACATATTGTAATATAACTTGATAGGTAGCAACATTCGCAAACAGATGGCGCCAAATTGTGAACCAAACAAGTGTCATTTTGGCTAAACTAACATTTCTAAAAGCATGCAGGATGCAATTCGTTTGCAAAATTGATTAATTTATCGTCCAACTTTATTTACTTTGTAAATTTATACACGTACTTTTACCTAACTACCTTCTTCCGCATTCTCTTCCGCAGCTGCTTCCTTTTGCATCTTATTCGGCCTACATTCAGGATATTTATCCGTAAGGAAACTCCTAATATCTCCATACTCAGCAATCAAATTGCGTTTCACTTTATCTTGATTCCTGATTATCTCCTGTTTCTTCAGGTATGTCTCCCAACCCTTCTGTTTGGTATAAAATGGCGGAAATTTCTTTCGCTGTAGAATTACCCGCCCGTCAAGGCAATATTGCGTAAAGTCCAAAGTTTCATCGTGTTGCAATTTATCACTGGTTCGCACCGAGGCGGGCGAAGCTAAGACATTCGGGAAGTTTAAGTTTTCCTTGCAGAGTTCAACTAAATGCAATTGTTTGTCTTCGGCGATTTGTTGATGTGTTTTCTGCAAATAACATAAATCAATCAAAATTGATACAGAAATGTTGTGTTTTGATAAATTACTTGTCGTAAAAGGCCTAAAAAGAAGGCCTTGACGACGTGTTGCACATTTGTTGATCCTTCAACTTTTGCATACAAATCCTTAATGCCGACAACTTCACAAATTGTTTTAATGGCTCTGTGACATCTCAGTCCATAGCCAGGTGGTCTTTGACTAACGAATATTTTAGTCGCGCCGAATTGAGTAAAAAATCATGATAAACTATAAAAAAATTATTAAAACCAATTTACTCAATGTTTTCACCTCAATCAAATTACCTGTATGGCCTCTAAAGATATTTACATGCATCAACTTTTGCCCAGCTCGGTTTTTGGCTTTCCTGAGAGCAGTTTTTGACTCAATTCCCTTGCCAGTTGCAAAACCACCAAGTCCATTTGAATTACCAGTTACAACAAAGACTGATAAACGACGTTTACGCCCAAAGTTACCTTTCATATTGAAAACAGTCTTCAATTCAAGCACTTTTGTGTCAAAACCTTCAAAGTTATCTAAAACATTACCACAAAATAAAGCTTATATATTTTATTACATGTGAATATAGAAATTTACCTTCTCCAACAGGATCTGGTGGTCCTATACTTCTGCCAGGCATTTTGGAACCAGACCAACCTCTTTCAATTGGGCTTAATTTTCCATATCTAAATGTACCCATTGAATCTCTTAGTGAAATCAGATGTTTTTCTCTTTCAGGATCTTCAGGTAACTGCTGTTGTTGAACTAGTTCCTTGCCTCTGATGATAGGCGCTGATAAACCTGGCCATATTATATTGGCTTTGCCCACACCAATGACTTGACCACGATTTAAATCTTGATGTTTTTCTTTGACACTGTCTTGCCACGACCTCTTTTCTTACCGGCATTACTCACAGATGTTATGCCTTTCCATAGTGCTTCTGCAGGTACTAAATAATTAAGTAGAAAAATGTGAAAAATCAGATGAAATGTGAAAGTCTTTTAGGGTTAGGACTTACATCTGTTGAAAAAGTTTGCATTTCTTGAATTGGTGTTAAGCAGTGGACCTATGATTACTTCGCCGGAGGTTCCAGACGTTGGTGCCAGGCGACATCGTGCATTTAGTGATAGTTTCTGCAAAGAACGAGTGATATTTAGGAGTTGAAGAGCCATTACAAACGGCTCCGCGTGTTGAATTTTTAAAGTTTTCCTGTAGAGGCGCTGTTTTAAACCGTATGAGAAATATAAGCAGAAATGTGTTGATTTTTCTCATTAATTCTTTGTTATTGTTATTGGCTATTGTCAAATTCTAAAAAATTAATGAAATCTTGCATTTCCTTAATATTTATGTTAATATATAGGACAATGGGCACGCATTGAAGAGTCAAATATGTCAAATAATTGAAGTACTTAAATATTTGAACATTTTTTTAAAGAAAATAGTTTTTCATGCGTTTTCATTTCTGATTAATAATAACAATGCGCAAATTTGTTTTATTTTGAATGCTAAAGGTCATCATTTTACCTGCGCTTGTTGCTTTGTGCGCTTGTTTTACCGGATGTACAATTGTCGAGTGTTTGGCACAGATTAAAAATATGATTAAATAAAATACCATTGTTACACTTCCCATCCAAGTTAAATATAGTTAATAATCAATCATTGTATGGTTCCACATGTCTAAAACACTTTCGAAAGTTTTCACACTCCAACAATGAATTACAAAACAAATAAAATAATAGTTTAATTGATAAGGATTGTTCAAAATGAGACTTGATACTTTCTTACATCAGCAAATAATATAGCTACATATTAAAAGATTGTCATTAGTAATGTCTCTAAAAATGTTGCAATCAATCAATAATCTGGCAAATCAAGTTCATGTAAAAAAGTTCATGTCTCTAATGATGATCCAACTCCAACTCGCCTCATTAATTTAATCATTCTTAGTCAATACAAACCGACAAAACCTTAAACTTCCGATATTATTCTTATCAAATTTGTGTTTTACAATATTCCCAATTAAATTATTATTCCAGACGTAATTAGTAGTAGTAATAATGTCATTTTTATTGATTTATCATTGAAACTATTTACAAATTGGCAACACACCACGTTCGGAGATTAGGATACCGATACTCAATCATTTCCCAAGTCTCAAAACAATGTCTTATCTGCATCTTATTTGTAGAGTCGTTGAGCATTGCCCTGATTATTTTCTGATTGCAGCCGATTTGAATAACAGTATAAATATGGGCCCGAAAATCGCTGGGGAATCAATCGTTCTCGAGTCTATCCGCTCCACAACGATAGAATCAAGATGAAAGTCGCAATCGTCGTTTTGCTGAGCGCATTGGCTCTTACCAGTGCCCTCGACTGGAAGAACATCAACACCTTGAACATCAACAAGGCGGTGCCAAGAATCCTCATCCCCAAGAATCCCAACACCAGGATTGTCAATGGCGAGGAGGTCGAGCCCCATTCCATTCCATGGCAGGTGGGTTTGTTGATCCAGATGAAGAATACTGAAGGTACTGCTTTCTGTGGTGGTTCAATCATTTCCAACCAATGGATTTTGACTGCTGCTCACTGCGTCGAAACGTAAGTTAAGCCAAAAACAAAACTTTTTGATTTTCGAAAATGATTTTTAATGATATTTCAGTGCTGAATCCATCGAGGTGGTTCTAGGTGCCCACAAAATCAAGGAAGAGGAAGACACTCAGATTCGTGTGGTTACCACTGAATTCTTGCACCATGAAGATTGGTCCCGTTTCACCCTCACGAACGACATCGCTTTGGTCAAGCTTCCAGAACCTGTTGAATTCAATGGTAAATAATTGAATATTTCTTTTAAAATTTAATTTTTTACTTGAATATTTTTATAATTTTAGACAACATTCAGTCAATTGGTCTGCCCAGCGACATTGGCAACATCGATGACCTTACCGTCTCCGTCACCGGCTGGGGTAAAGACTCCGATGAAGCCACCAGCGTCTCCGAGGTTCTGCGTATCATCAGCGTACCAGTGATGCCCAACGACAAGTGCAACAACTTCTACTTTGGCATCATTCAAGACACACACATGTGCACTGACTCCTGGGCTGGTAGCATTGGTACTGGTCACAGCACCTGCAGTGGTGACTCCGGTGGCCCATTGGTTCTGGAAGGCACGACTCAGGTCGGCATTGTGTCCTTCGGCATTGCTTTCGGATGCGAGTTGGGATACCCTGCTGCTTTCACCAGGGTCAGTTCTTATGTGGACTGGATTAATGCTCATATCGCATAAACATGTGTTGTTGAACAATAAATATATCTCTTGATATGTGCTTGTGATTTAAATGTTTTAATTATGCGTAAAATACAATTTTTAAGTACATGATATAGTTTTATATCAGTGTTTGAGAACTCGTGTCTAAAAGCTATATTTTAAACCATGCTTCTTTTTAAGTAGTACAAGTATACGGCCTAAGATGACGCTGAGAATAATGACTGTGAAACAGTAAACTTGGTTGCCTAGTGTTTGAATCAGCACTGGCGGCACTTGTTTTTTGCTGCTAGGTTTGTTTCCAAAGATTGATGGAATATTGTCGCGAATTTGAGGCCCAAAATACAATGCAGGATTTATAATTCAGCGCGATATTATCAGAACACTGTGGACAATCAATTTTACAGATATATTCTAAGTTTTAATCAGTAAACATGCGAGGATTCGTTTGTAAAATGAAGTAACCTCAAATTGTTTCACAACATTACAGTTACACGAAGTTTCATTCTTTTTACAATTAATTCTCATCAGTTCTGAACATGACGTCGATAATTAAATTACAAGCACTCTCCGGTGCTATGGATGAGTCGCCCCCTTGTTATCTACTACAAATCGATGAAGTACGGATATTATTGGATTGTGGATGGGATGAAAATTTGATCAAGAAATAATTAAAGAACTCAAAAGGTATATTCAACTTCAAAACATTATTATATTTAATATAATGTATTAATTTTTGTTTTCATGATTTTAGACATGCTCACACCATAGATGCAGTTCTTATTTCATATCCTGATCCTTATCATCTGGGTGCATTGCCATACCTAGTTGGCAAATTAGGTTTAAACTGTCCTATCTATGCCACAATTCCTGTCTACAAAATGGGGCAGATGTTTATGTATGACTGGTATCAATCACATTCCAATGTTGAGGATTTTGATGTGTTTTCATTGGATGATGTTGATATGGCATTTGAAAAAGTCATCCAACTTAAATACAATCAAACAGTATCAATGAAAGGTAAAGGCTATGGTATTTCTGTGACACCATTGCCTGCTGGACACATGATTGGAGGCACAATTTGGAAAATTATGAAAGTTGGAGAAGAGGATATTATTTATGCAAATGATTTTAATCACAAGAAGGAGAGACATTTGAATGGATGTGAATTGGAAAAACTGCAAAGGCCTTCATTGTTGATAACAGATGCATTTAATGCAACATATCAGCAAGCTAGGAGAAGAGCTAGAGATGAAAAGTTAATGAGTAAGTTTTATAAATATATTTTTTCTTTTTAAAATGTTTATGTTTATATTTCTAGCTAATATTCTGCAAACACTACGAAACAACGGCAATGTATTAATATCAGTTGATACAGCCGGTAGAGTTTTGGAGTTAGCTCACATGTTGGACCAACTCTGGCGAAACAAAGAATCAGGTTTATTCGCGTACTCATTAGCATTACTGAGTAATGTTAGTTACAATGTGGTGGAGTTTGCAAAGTCGCAGATTGAATGGATGAGCGATAAATTGATGAAAAACTTTGAAGGCGCACGAAACAATCCGTTCCAGTTTAAACATTTGCAGCTGTGTCACAGTTTACAGGAGTTGGCGAAAGTACCGAATCCTAAAGTAGTTTTGGCTAGTTTTCCGGATATGGACTGCGGTTTTTCACGTGAATTATTCCTGCAGTGGTGCTCGAATGCTAATAATAGTATTATTATTACAACACGGACATCACCAGGGACACTATCAAGAGATTTAGTTGAGAATGGTGGGAATAGAACAATTGATTTAGAGGTTAAAAAGAGGGTAAAACTAGAAGGCGTGGAGTTGGAAGCGTTTGAAAAGGAGCGCAAGGAGAAGGATGAATTAATAGCTGTGCAAAAGTAAGTTATTTATTTATTACCCTTATAATCTATCTATAAAATAAAATGAATCACAAAATCTGTTGGTAAGCGCATAACTCAACAACGCCTAGACCAATTTGGCCAATTCTTTTGTTAAAATGTTCGTTAAAGTCCAGGGATGGTTTTTACGGCCAGAAAAATTTGAATAATTGCCGGGAGAACCCTTAAGACAGCCCATAGTTATAGTTAAATAGTTGAATCCGAGATGGCACACTGAAGTGCATTATTAGCAATTCTTTATATAATTAATTTCTTTAAAATAAAATTGCGAATCTTATTGATAGAATTGACACATACTATGTCTAGAACAAGAGAGTAAAAACGAATTACATTTTTATTAAACACTACCGGGCCGAAGTCACGTGCAAAAGCTAGTTTAAAATATTATTCGATTTCAGGACTGAAGATTCCGATTCTGATAGTGATATCGAAATGTCAGTGATCTCTAAAGGCCGCCATGATATTGTCATCAAACAAGAAGGCAAGATCCAAGGAGGATTTTTCAAAGCAACCAAAAAACAATACCCGATGTTTCCTTTTCAAGAAGATAAAATTAAGACAGATGATTACGGCGAGATAATAAAACCGGAAGACTATAAACTGGCTGACACCATCACAGAAACCGAAGATAATAAAGAAAATGTAATAATTAAGAAAGAGGAACCCGACCCACTTCCAGAACTCCCTGAAATTCCAACAAAGTGCATTGTTTTGAACCGAACTGTTCAGGTGAACTGCCAAGTGCAGTACATCGACTTCGAAGGTCGCTCTGACGGAGAATCTCTGCTTAAGATTTTATCTCAGTTACGACCACGACGATTAGTTATCGTACGCGGGGATGAGGAAAGCACAAGCGCGATAGCGAATTATTGCAAGGAGCATGTGGATAGTAAAATATTTATACCGAATCGCGGCGAGATTATTGACGTGACCAGCGAAACGCACATATATCAAGTGCGATTGACCGATGCCTTGATTTCACAGCTCTCTTTCCAGAAAGGGAAGGATTCAGAGTTGGCTTGGGTGGATGCGCAGATTGTCTTGCGCGAAAGCCAACCGGATGCTAAACCTATCATAACAGATGCAGAAAATGACGTTGTGGTGGAACCAATGGAAGTAGATAATTCTACATCGAAGATATTCACTCTGGAACCTTCTAATCAATGTGTACCACATGATACAGTTTATGTGAATGAGTTGAAACTCTCTGAGTTTAAACAGATTCTTTCTAGATCCAATATTTCTTCAGAGTTTTCAGCTGGTGTTTTGTGGTGTTGTAATGGTACAATCGCCATTCGAAAGGTAACATTTTATATTTTCTGAATAGTTTAAATTTTAATGCTTTCTATGTTTTTGTTTATTTAGATTGACAGTGGAAGAATCATCGTTGAGGGTTGCATATCTGAGGATTATTACAGAGTACGAGACCTTCTGTATGAACAATACGCGATTCTATAATTTAAAATTTAACATGAGTTTTTAATAAATACAGAAATTTTTGATGATGATGTATATTAGAGCTTAGTATATAATGTTCATAATAAATATGTAAAGAATTTGTCGACTTTGTGAAATTGATTGTGTGCTGTGTGCGATTGTGTGTGAGGTTAACTGAAGATCATGTTATGCTTTGTCAGCACGTTCAACAATGGGAATTATGGCGCACTAAGCTTGTAAATGTAATAATTATACAAATGCGTAGATTTAGTTGAGGGTTTTCGTACGGCAAAATTGGTTTTTGTTAATTTTTCTTTAAAATATTGAAAATTTGGTTTGTTTAGTTGTTTTTATGGCGGGTAGATGGTAATTTCTTTTTGTTTTCTTGATTTAGAAAAGAACTGGAAAGGCTGAAAATTATTTAACACTGTTATTGATCAATATAAATATGCAAAGTATTAAATAGCATAAGATAATTTTGCAGCTTGCGATAAAAAACAGCATTTTCCATTACAAACAAACAAATTTAGCATTTTACTCAATTTAGCAGTAAAATAAAACAAAAATTTGACTGTTCTGAGACACGAAAATAATTTACAAGTTGACAAACAGATATTCACGTAAAAAAACACAAATATAATAAGTTAAACAATGTAGTTTTGATTATTTTAATTTCTATTCTTACTTGTAAATGTTTTAATATTGCTATTTGTATTGAAAGCAGTATTGAATTGCGTCCCAACATTGTATATTTCGGATAAATAAGCTCCGTAGCTCTACGTGCCGTGCATACTACTCTATCCCCACTCCACCTCGACTGAAAAAGCGTCGGCTAAGCGCAACGCTGCGTTCGTTTTCATTCATGCCTCTGCCTCTGCGACTTATCTCAAGCCATCTTGCCGGTCGGCGCGCGCGCTCAGCTGCCCAAACGTGCGCACTCCGCAGAGAGCCCATAGCGCAAAGCCAGTGCGTCGGCACAGTCAACACAGTGCCTCGCAGTGTGATGCTCATGCTCCGTGTTGTTTTGTGTAACTAGTGCGGCGTGCGTTCGCATCCAACATGCACGATGCATTGTGATAACTGATAAACGGTGCCAAAAACGGTTGAGTGTGTGACGTGTGTTTATATACAATATCATCATCGAAAGATCGGCGCCGATTCTGTTGATACAATTGCACACATTGCCAAGCAACGAAGTGTGCCTCCCGCAAATAATATCTGCTGCGATTGTTGTCTGTGGCACCGATTAAGTTCGCGCATTTGGTTTGCATAAGGTGAGTCTAAATATAACTTCGCCTTCGTGGATTGCATGCGAATTGCGTGCGGGACAATGAACGAAATTCGAGACTTCGGGTGGAGAAAGAAACTTTGTCAGGTGTTTCATTCATATACGCGTACAAAAACACACATTGCATGATAGATGGATGATTAATCGTGTGGGTTGAGGATGAAATTTGCATCATGTTAGCAAATCCACTGCATTCCTGCAAAATCTACTTCATTTCAAATGAATAGCAATTATTCTGTTTGATTCCATCATTATCTCCACAGTTGAACGTAATCATCGTGTCAAGATATCACCTTATCAGGACACTTATATTGGTTGGTTGATAGATTGCACGCATTATAAATTGATAGGACTCTTTCATCTACATGTGTAACATGTTACGTTCGATCTCATCGTACACATAAACTTGTCTATCGGCCGACGTTTCCATAAACTAGAAAAAGCATCGTCGACATTTTTCAAGGTCGTGATACTCTCCAGCCCGACGAGAGATATTCAATCCAAGCTTCGGACATCATGTAACAACCTCATCCGAGCAGGTTTACTCGAGCGCTTATAATTATCCGGCGAGCAGCTACTCGGCGCACTGCTTCTTCAATTTCATTCTTGACGTAATAATAATCACGACCACGTCGGCGGAAAAATCATGTCGGGCATAAATATAAATACAAGATGGCCGCGGGTGAAAATATCATTCATTACACTTATATGCTATTGGAATGTTTGTCAATAGTTTACAGCACTTTTGACGTTTTTATCGATGTGCAAAAGGAAGTGCTTCGATTTCGACCTGGGTAGTAAAAGGTAGTAGAACACAGGTTATTGTAGTAACCTTGCTCTTTCTTACTTTACCCATAACCGCACCACCTGTGTTACGGTTCTTTTCGCTTCCAAAGTGGCCAGCGCCGCAAAAGATTTCGAATTTGTAGAGTGGTGGCCCTAACAGAAAACAGCGTACTCGAGGGTAAAGAAAAGAAAGCGTTTGCTGAGGCGCCTTGTCTGTCGGATGTCAGCATCTGATGATCGTGTGGTGAGGCATCTCCAGTACTTATAGTGGGAGCGTGGAAATACACCATTTTTAAGTTAAAGGGGACACCGGGTACACCAAGCAAAGAAGGTTGTGGGTTGAGTGTGTTGCTAAAAGTATAGTTTTACATGAGTATCAAATATTCAGGGCCCCTATGAAGGCATCATATTCTCATAACCCAATCAAACAATATACCAGTTACCCAAGGAGTATACATGGGTACCAGGTGTTGCAGTTTCTCATGATTTCTTTTAACTTTCATTTAACTAGGTATTAATTTTATAGTCTAGTATATGATCGCTAATGTGATCATTTAAACGCGATAAACGTTCATGCGCAGTTTATGAGTTTGTAGTTTTGAGGTTATATTGAGGTGGTTGAGTTATTGACGCACGAATTGAAATTTATCGTTAACATTTGCATCGTGGTTCTTGTTTGCTCACCCCACACGTTCTGGGCTCGGTTGATATATTGTGCAAAACGTGTGCGTTTTTTCTTTCTGTTGCTTGTGATTAAATTACCATATGTTTCGCATTCGGTGCTCGCTCGGCGTGCCTCGACTGGGTCGATCACGAACATTACCACTTACCAGCAATAGGCGTCAGTTATCTGATTGATAATAATTACTTTAGTTGCATATTCAGCGTTAATCGCTGCTAGAGACAATTTCACTTCGCAATCCTGACTGGCAGAAACCAGATTAGAATTAGTATTTAATTTTAATTATATGCTCATGGAATAGAGGAATTTGCTTCATTAGCGTAGGGAATATAATTGAAAATTTTATTTATAAGTAGATAAATCAAGAAAGTTTTGGAGTTGGATATTAGGTTCACAAATTTTAAAATTTGTTAGGTATTTAAGGGTTTCCATTCCTTAAGAAGGGATTTTGTGAAATTCCACACTAAAAGGGTGAAAGGTGCTTGAAAGCTTTTCGAAATTTCCAAAAATGTATGTTACATTAACACTCCCTGACATTTGAAGAACATATTCAATGGATGTGTTTGTTTAGGGGTCTGATATGATTATCTAGTTTTTGGGTCTGGTAAGTGACAGAAGCTTTGAAATATTTTCGAAATTTGAGCTAACTTGGGTTATAGTCAGATAATATTCACAATTATTTTAGGAAGCAGCTTAAAATTCAATTTCATAAAAAAGACATCTTTGCGGTAATCTATAATATCAAAATGAATCGCAAAATCGGTTTGAAAGCGCATAACTCAACAACGTCTAGACAAATTTGGCCATTTAGGTATTTTTTTTTCAAATAATCGTTTAAGTCCAAGAATGGTTTTTACGGCGAGAAAAATTCGAATAATTGCCTGGAAAACCCTAAAGGCGCGCTGCAGTGCATTAGTAGCAATTCTTTATAAAATTAATTTCTTGTCTAGAACAAGAGAGTAAAACCGAATTACATTTTTATTAAACACTACCGGGACGAAGTCGCGGGCAAAACCTAGTTGTTGTTAATAAAACATTAAATTTTAGTCTTTAAACCTGTCAAAACTCTTGGCGGTGTCTTTGACTTTAATGTTATGTTACATTAACAACGCGGAAAACTTGACCAATTGCCCTTTCTTGACTACAATCAAGCCGACCGTGCTCGTCTTCACACGATCGGGGAAGTGACGTAAATGTTGAGTTTGAATTAGGTAGTTAGTTAGTTCCGCAGTTCCTGTTTTATTGCACACAATGAATATAAGAATACTTATATACGAGTTTCGTGTTTCATGACTCAAGTGTTATTAAATAAATGTAATTTAAAATTTTACTCATTTTTAGTTACTGTCATTATTTCTATTGCACAACAATGACTCAATTAATAGAAATATTGGAAAACATTGAGATTTTTTTTTCAAATTTTTGGAAATGTCGTTTATAGTTTAATAAACCTAAAAATCTGAGTATTATGAGTGCATGTTGTTTGTTTTATAATGGAACTAAATTAAAATTGGCAATTAATGTCGGCAATGCTGGTAATTGTACGAATTTACTCGAAAATAAATAACACGCTTGATACAATCTTGTTGATTTACAAATTATACATTACACTCGACGCGATAATTACTCTCAATTCCGAAAACCAACAGTAAGTATGTACAAACGACTATGTTTTGTTAATCAAACAGGCCAAGCGCACACCCCCAGCGCCCTATTTCGTTGGTTTTACCGAAAAATTTAAATTGCCTAATTTGATATTCCATCGCACTTGCGTGCCCCCCTGCCCGGCTACGAGCATTTAAACGTTTAATTAAATTAGAGCACATAATTAACTAATTGGACCAACATAAAAGATCACCGAGCTCAGCTCCGAATTGAATAAAACACGATTTCTTTTCGGTTTGACTCACGAAACTGCATCGTAATTGACCATTTGGTTTTTGGGCTGCACATGTCTGTTGGGTTGCCATCACCATCACCTTTTCGTATTTCTTTTTATTCATCTTCTCAGTCATCAGAGACCTTCTGAAACAAGGGGCAAATGTGGCTGAGATTTTCGAGTTTTCGTATACCTACAATGTGTGCTCCCATGTGTCATGTGGCTTGGTGTGTTCAACACCTGTTGGTCGCTTCGCCTTCGACCCGAAAGCTCGAAAAGCACACGTATATCAAGTTACAACTAGTAAATCTCAAGCACCCCAAACACGAACACTTTAAACAGAACTCAGTTAAAATGTTTTGAATATTCAAAAGAAACTAAATTGGCAAAGTATGTTTGTGTCGAGGTTATTAAAGTGGCACGCTTTATTTACGACTGTAGTCACTCAAAAGAATTACATTTTAATATAGGGGGCAGTGTTGTCTAATGTCAAGTCAAGTAGTATTTTCCTTAACATGAATTTTAACATAGTTTCTTTATTTTGTTCCAGATGGGGTTGGAGGTATTCGATTCGTTCGACTACCTCGAAGAAGAGGACTTTTACGACTCCAATGTGCCGACGAAAATGGAAGTGAGCAACCCGAGCGATGGCAACAAGCGGCGAGTGACATTCGCCAGCAAGCTATCATACTTTGAAAAGGTGCGTGCCAGTTACATAACCTCAAACGTACCTCACTCGAACCACGATTAGTAATTTCAACCATTCCACACAAGTTCAAGTCACTTCCACGAATCGCAATCGATCGCAATCATACGAATTACAAAGTACAAACCAAAATAATTCCGTACATTATCAGTAGGTGACTCCAAAAATATCATTATCTGTTAAAAACCACTCAGAAATACAAAACTAATCCCTTTGTTTGTCAGCCAGCTGAGTATGTTGATTTACTACGTTTCCAGCGGTTTTTACAGCTCGATTCGGACAGGTTCTACTCATGCGCAGCGTGTAACGAAATGTTTCTATTTATATTGCGTGGATGAGATTCGAGCACAGTGAATGTGAATACCCCGATGGGGTTTTTACACGACTCCGAAAAGATACATGGCTACGCGGCGCGTTAGCAAATCGTATGTTTACAAAATACACACATTAGATGCGTGCGCACTACTCATTGATCTTTAGCTGACTTAACACGTTGAGGACGGCGCGGTTTTTGGGTGCTGTCGCATCGGGCGGCGTTTGAGCATTTTCAACTCCGTCTAATTAATTCAGCTGTGCGCCACTGGTGGTTATGCATTGCTGTATCAAAAAGCGATTGTTTTTGCAGTTGCGTCGCCATTTATTTATTTTCTTTGTAATGAATGCCTTTATCTTTAGAGTCCGACCGAAACTATGTGCGAACTGAGATGTCAAGTGACGACCACGACTAGGCGCGAGTTAGCCGAACGACGCACGATAATTCACGAACACTGAGTTTCGGTTCTGCCAAAAGTTTCAGCCAATTTTTGGCCGAAACCAAATTTGAAGCCAAAACTGAAACTTTGGTCGGTCACTATTTATTATAATATGTAATCTGAGTGACACATTTGATGACAAAGATGCAAGGCCCTGATTGTATAGGTGAAACGAGGAGAAGATATAACCTAACCAGTGGCGTAGTCAAAAATGAATAAGTCTCGTTTCAAATGAGCCGTGTACCACCGGTGGTACACGCCGTCCCACAGACCAGACTCGTGTGTACCACCGGTGGTACACGCCGTCCTTAACGTGTTAAACTTAGCCAGTAGTTAAAAATATCACCCTCTCCGTCTCATTTAATGAATTACAGTCGAGTGACTGATGACACTTTGTAAATGGGACAGAAATTGCTTGGAAAAAATACGTAATGTAGATATCACGATCGAAATCGGACCATTTTTAGATAAGTCAGTCATTTTGAGTGTGCGTCTTGAATAATGACAGACGTATTGGTTTGGTTTTCGGTGGGATTTGTCGCCGAATGTAATGTAACCGTCGTAACTGATACTGACAGGTATATTGAGAGAAGTCGGCAGGAGTCAGGGGTAATGAGCGTCTTCGAGCGTACTTCCTCTTTGACGTCATCGCAGCGATCCTTCCGGTGCTAATTTTGATCGCTTGGTTGCCTCGCCTGATTATCGTCCCTTTATATTAACTCCTAGGGTAGACAATGAAATTTCGGTGTTTTGATTTTATCATTATCTAGATGCCAGATTCTAGAAACATCCTCAAGTACTACTCGTACATCATCGTGGGAAAAATTTTAAGTTTATGATGCAATTATTTTGTGTTTTGTTGATCAAGTTCAAAGTTAAATAATTTTGTATTATACAAGTTTACTAGTGCTAATTGTAATTGTTACTCTGGGCAATTAGAAACAATAAAAAACGGTCGTCGTGTGACCGTTAACGTAGAAAGTTGGCTTTGTTTAGCTCATCGTGTAACATTACGCAACAGGTCTGCTTGTGTTGGCTGAATGAATGCAACTCGCGGCGGCGCGAACCGCGGCGAGCTTACTTACACGTCGCCCCGCTTCATTCAGACATATTCATTCATTCTCTCTGCCGGTTCGGTTCGTTCATTCATTCATTCATGGGTTCATTCGATGGAGTTGGAAGTCGCGCGTGCAGAGCGGCGTCGAGACAAGGCCGACGAACGTTTTATGCTTTATTACTTTGCGTTTGTTTCGGTTTGCGTCTATTTTCCTTCCTAGACGAGCGCAGTGACTTAACTTTCACCTGTTTAATGTTCCTCTTGCCCAAACAAGTAATTCTCGGTCCTGTCAACAATCGAATGCGTAATTTAATATTATTTCAACTATAAGTATACATAAATAGTGTGAAATCTATTTATTTCGAATGACCACAGTTTCTAATTATAACTAATTATATTTAAGATGCATACTCATCTTTTCTGACGTGAAAATTGTCACGAGGCGGCCGTTAAAGTGATTTATTCGCCATTTATCAATCGTTTGATATTCGATGCGTTTGAAAATGCAATTGCTGGTGACATTCACATTCACGTTTTGCACTTGGTGTTGGCGGTGCGGTCCCCACCTGGGGGACGTAGCGCCATAGATGGAAAGAGTGGTTGGCGACAGTCGCGTGTGTGCACTTTGCTGGACGTGGTTCAAACAACTCCTCTCGCAACACGCGTGCTTGCTATTTCTAGAATGACGTGCAATTTAAAAAATAGTCTATCTACAGTTAGATTAGTCATTGGGAAGACGTATGTTAAATGTGAGGTTAGGTTAGTTAGGTGAGGATAGTTTTCTTTTGGAGATAAATGTATCGCCATCTTGTGGTAGAAAGCTTTAATATTTTTCATACTAATGCAAAATGTATACGATGACATAAATGGGAAAAACTTTTTTGATCTTGTTTGAAATTAAGCAAATCTAAACTTTAAAATTTTGTGCAATAATGCATCAGTTCACGATCGAAAAAAAAACAGAAACCCTGTATGAAACCCGATAAAAGAGAGGGTAGAGGAACCTAGAGACCAGTGACTATTCGACTTGACCACTCAGGCACTACTGAGCACTGCGCTACGTAGGTAGTAAAAAAAAAACACAAAGTAGAGACGTTAATAAAGAGCACTGCGCTCAAAGCGATCTGTCCTTTTATATCTGCGGTCGACCCGCGAAAAAGGGTGGGGGAAGGTGCGCACCGGTGCGGACTGCGTATACTTGCTAATACCGGCAGTTATAAGAGGAGAATATTTAAGAATTAAAAAGCGTTGTTTTACTCAAATTAAATATGAATTACACTTAATTACAACGTGTTAATTACCGACTTAACCTTCAACCTAAATCTTTCCGGAACTTGTTTAATCTGGAAGCAGCATTTAACACCGCGAATGTCATTGCTTGTAAATTCATAAACTTCTCACTGTTTATATTCATACCCTGCCGCTGAAAAGAAAATATACATTGACAATGTGTTCACATTCTGTCGTATCACATGCTGCCGGTGACTTTTTTTTTAACCCCGACGTGCGTAGTTCGCAACGCACATGACCCAGCATACATCATGCACGCCATCCAGAATTTAATACGCAAAGCATGACATGGTAATCTCAAAGATGTTGAGTTGACTGTTGTGTCTGGCACCTACTAAACAAGGAGCAAAGCGTATGGAATCACTACTTCCACTTGTAGCATATTGCTATATATTATATTTTATAGGCTTCCACGCATGCAGAAGCATTACCAGTACCACAGTACCAGATGCACGCCGTACGTGTTTACAGTTTACGCCGTGATCGAATGTCTTTTGGTCTCTTGCAGCTTCCGAATGAGCTCTTCTTTCGTGTCTCCTCGGAGGTTTTTCTTGTGCGCAGTCATCGTCCTTTCTGCTCGCGTTTCCTTTTTTTCTCCCCGCTCTGCAACCGAGCGCACTAAGTGGGAATTGAACGCCATAGATATAAAGACATCGTTTGATAGCTCATTGAAGCGTAGAGTGCTCCTCTCTGATCGCAGTTCTTGGAAGCTCTCATTAACTAGCGCGCAAAATCGAGCAAACTAATTATTTACTGAACTCTAGCGTCTCGAAATAAAATCCAACGCTGAATGAACATCGACGCGCGCTGCACATTCATTAATGTGCACAACGTCGTGCATCTTCTTTTTCTCTACGCATTCGTAATGCTCGGCACGTATTAAGCGTCATTTATAAATTTCTGTGTGCACCAACAACGGACTCGGTCTTCTTATGCGCTACCGGTCTTATATATACAGTCTGTATGTATTTATATTCATATTCTTTGGTGTAGTAATATATCAGTTGGCGTTGAATCCACACGGCCTGCTGCGTTCATTGTGAGGCGAAATAAAATTAGATACGCGTTTTATTTTAGATATGCTTCGGTATCACGGTAGCCAGTGGGGTTTTTCAGTCGCTGGCACGCGTAAATAATGCGCTGTTATTATATTTGAAATGAAATTGAAGAAAACGAAGAATAATTACGCCGCGCACCACCGCGCCGGATGTTATGATTCCGACCTTTTAGTCTTAAATGATTAAACGACACCCTAGTCAAAGTGCGCCGCTTTAATTTGTCATAATTATTTCATTTCTTTTGTAGACACTGTTTGATTTAATGCTTTATTTCTATTTATTGTTTGGTTTTGTTGAGGTGTTTGGATTCATGTCGCATATTAAATTTGAATTTGGTGTCTATGCATTTATGTTTATACTGAAACAACGCGGCGAGCTGTACGGTGCATGGCTATATGTGGAGGTGGTGTTTGCTTATATGGTGTCTGCGACCACATTAGAATATTTATTAATCTCATGCAGTCGTTGGCTCGTTTCAGTCATTGTAGTCTACAAAAGTGTACAGTCGACATGTCGCTGCAGCGCCGTGTTTTACGGAGGTGTTTATTATCGACACATACACACACAGACAAGCTTTGCATAATAATTCGTATTTGCACTTTGTATTTAATACAATATTAAGTAAAAGTTGTAGAATTGGTTGCCTAACGGTGATTATTTGAAAATTTTAGTTAATTCATTAATTACTCGAGAACTACTTAATATTTTAGAGGTATTCTTTCATAAAATTATTTATAATTAAGTTTTCTATTAATCTATGTAATTATTTTATTGAAATCGTATTTGTATTAAAAGTTATAAGCTTATTTCAATATATTTCACTATTTTGTTTATAACTTTTTATATAATCAGATTAAGTTTATATTTATTATATAATATTATTATATTTATGTGTAGAGAAGTTTATGAAGAATCTACCATCGAAAGAATCATAATGTTAGTGTGAATAGCTTCCGAGTAATTTATTATTATAGTAGTGGATGTTACAAAGTAAACACAAAATATGTTATTTTTCCTAAGCGGAAATATTTGAAAGTTCGAATGCATGAATCTCTTTTTTCTTAGTATTCTTAATGCATACATACGATTTGCTTAATAATTGTTATTTGCAGATTTTATACAGAAATCATTTAGGTAATTCAAGTTGTAAAATTGGTTGCCTATCGACGAATACTTGAAAATTTTAGTTTTTCATTAATTACTCGAAAACTAATGAACATATTCGAGTTATTTTTTTCAGAATATCATTTAGAATTAAATTCCCCATCAATATTTGAAATTATTTTTCTGATAACAAAAGTTACAGGCCAATTTTTATAAATTTTCTTTTTATTTTTCAAAATACTACTTAAAATTGTTTATAACTTTTTATATACAATTCCGATCATGACCATATTTACACGGTTTATGTCGAATTTCATTCTAAATCTAATAACGAAAGAATCGTAAGTCTATTGTGAATAGTTCCTGAGTAATTTATAATTAAATTACTAGATGTTACAAAGTAAATACAAAATGCACTATTTTCCCTTGGCGGAAACATTTGAAAGTTTAATTACGTGAATCGTTTTTTCCTCGTTTTTCAATACACACCTAGCGCTTAAAATACAACGCGCGGATTGCACTCCAGCTTTACGAAAAAGAATCCTAATGATGTGGAAAAAGCTCGCGCGGCCGGGTTTTTAATACATCAAACGGCGAGACAGCGTGACATCGAGGCGCGAGCAACAGACAAGACAGTCCACACCTGAATGAAAAAAGCAAAAACTATCATCTATCTCTACCATTGAGAGTCTCGCGCAGCGCGTACGCTTCTTGTGATATAATTATGTATGTTTGACATCCGGTTAACGACTGCTGGAAATACGCCGAATGCAACTACGTGCATCAATGCCCAGCCAGATATAAGTGTCCGACACTTCCGTTGTTCTTTGATATTGTTGTCATCTAGGGATTATTTCAAAGAGTAGAGATTACTACGTGTGTTATTTTCGTATGACGCAAGTGACACATTTTTCAAACACAAAACACAAGGAAATGAATTCACACCGCGTGTTTATTGATTGACAAATATTTAACATGTGAAAAAAATGTCTGTTCTTCTTTAAATAAGATTCCATTCACACATTCAATGAACCGCACTATTAAACTTGAACTTCATTTTCTGATAAACACTTATTAATTCTAACATTGCGACATATATTTTCATTCATAGTTTGAGTTTGATATACTACGCGATACGTGCTACTCAAACTGATAAATAAATAAGCTCGCAAAACAAAAATCTCCTTGCGAAGGATTCCCCTTTGAAATTTTATTCATTCAGTCAACTTATCAAATGTCATTATTCGAGATATCGTGGAAGATAAGTAATCATACGTACACTTATAATTTGCTGCAAATCATACTGAACTTTGGGTTATTTCGCGAGTTTATTCACAAACATAATGTTGTGCTTGTACACCGTTTGTGTATAGCTTCTTTATATTACATTAGCCGATGTTATCAGTGCGAAATTCATGATGGCGTCTATTTGCCTTATAGTGCGAGGATCAGCACGTGGATGCGATGGTCATCCTCAAGCAGGAAGTGCAGGACGAGAATGAGGAAGCCCTAGTGCCGAAATCAGTCCATACCGGATCCATTCAGAAAGTGCCTTCGATCAGCGATTTATCCGATCCGGAAGCTTCTCTTGGTAAGTACACAATTTTGATTTATATTCATAAATTTCATAGGAAGTAATTTTCCGTATGTAATATTCAACGGAAACTTCTATGTATGTAATAATCTCGAATTGTTACATTGTTTGAAGTACGAATTTATGAGTGATTAATAAACGCGATTATCACATGAACATGAGACAGCGCGCCGACGCGCAACACGCCCGAGTTTATTGTCATTGATGTAACCAATGTGAAACATTTTCATTTTAATTATTATCGGCTTGAATCATCACATCGTCAATTTATGCTGTTTACAATCGAATTTTGATTTGAAGCGCGGATTATATGTGATATAATGTGTTGGGTCGTATGCAGAGGAGAGTGCGGGCACTTAAATAAGGGCCCGACAACCCACAATGAGGATGTCACAGTTTATTTCATTGAAACACGCGCGGGCTTTATGAGCTTGCATGCATACAAACACAACGAGAAATGGCTGTAATCCCATTAAGCTCATCGCATCGTTTCGTGGCAATTAATAATTGGGTCAATCGTTTACATTCTTGTTGCGTGTAAGCTCAATAAACTTCACATGCATGCTTAAAATGTTAATTTATATGTAAATTGATTGTTTTTGCAAATAATATTTGTTATTGTGAAGTTTTGTTAATTATAACTGCTGAATAGGAAGATTAAATGATTATTAATTATCGTGAATTGCATCAGATTGTATCTGGATAGTGCAAGGCTGGCCAATGGATTTTCCTGGAGGGCCAATTTTTTTAGAATGCGGCAGCACCGGGCCACAGACTATGGCTATTCATACATAAAATATTATACATATACAAAAGTTCCAACTTTGGTTTGTGCGGCGGGCAAATTCAAATGTCCTGGCGGGCCACCTCGTGGCCCGCGGGCCTGGGATTGGCCAGCCCTGGGATAGTGTATCAATCATGGCATCGTGCACCTGCTCTCGTAATCACGGTGTAATAATGTTGCAGACGGTGTAGCGCAATTTGCGAGGTGCAATTTGCAATTACTTTTCATGTACTGCACAAAAGAAAGCAAAAGCGATGCGTAATGATAGGCATTAAATTATACCGAAGAAAAATATTATATATAATTGTGAGTAAATAGATTATTTGCTTTTGATTAGATAAATTTGTTTATTGAATAAAGTTTAAAGAAGTCTAAACGTAGGCAACTTAAATGCCACGTGAGCGTAGTTAACTGCGCGTACTCACTGCGCCATCTGTCGCGCAGTGCGGATACTAACCAGCGATGGCTTGACAACTGCTGCCAGTTAAGAGCACTTAAACGGCAAAAACATGAACTAAATATAAGACTTACAGAAATAATAACATTATATAAATATTTTAAAGTTATTATTACACATAACATTTTTTATGTGTTGAAATGATTATATTGAATAATTTTATTAAAGAAAACGTTGTTAGTTCGCGTGTAACACGATGTAAAACGTTATAAAAACAAACGCAGGTACGACCTTCATTACAACCGGCGAGAAATTAATAAATCGAAGCTGGAGCCCAGCGAAGAACTAGTTGAGCGCCACCTGCTCATCACGTCGATTTGCTTTTATTTAGTTCTTTTCCTCGCACGCGTATACTCACTGCTTCACTTCTTCAGTTCGCAGCTGAAAAGCAATCTCTACCTCGGGGAGCTCGCTCACATAGAGCACAATATGTATTCATTCATGATTAGATTTTTCTATTTGGTTTTCAGTTCAGAGGATGGGCTCGAGGTGATGTAGTGCGTGATGCATGCGAGCGAGAGTCAATTGATACTTTTATTATTAAATAGAGCCGGTGGCTAGGTTTTTATTGCCGGTCGTTGGCCTTTATCGGTGTGCCCCACGGCCGAATATGCTAAATACTAAATACTCGCATCTATGTTACATAGAAACTCGGATGAATTTACGATGTTTTTCATTTTATGCATACGCGTATGAAGGTACTTAATGTATATCACTTTTACAACTTTATACTAAGTCATCATCTTCTTAACATGTCTTAATATGTTATAAAGCAACATAACCTAAGATATCCTGTCAATTTTGAATGGATTTCGATGTGTTTTTGTTCTCTACGCGCTGAAATCGATGTTTATTCAATAAATAGATGAGTGTCGCTGGTTTTGTGTGCGGTGTGTCAACTGCGCTGGCGCGAAGCGTGCTTGCCGAGCGGAAGAAGACTATAAAGTTTTAAATTGGTCGTAGTGGGGTAACCATATGCGTATGATCACGGTGATGTGTCGTCACATCCGGTCGGCAGAAGTGGTGGTGATATTGAGTCTAGGTTTCATCTCTCTGAATGAATGAAATTACTAATATTTTTAAACGTCTCCTGAAACTTTTTTTTCCGTTTGCGTTTCTTTGTTTTGTTTGAAAGGTGCGCGCGCATTTCCTATGACAAGAGAAAAGCTGGTTGTGAGTGTGCGCGATTGCAACAAGATTGGCACATTGGCACAACTCGGGAAGCTATTAATCGTGTGTTGAACTATTGTCTAAAGTTGACATTTCTTAATGGCCGCTCGCGCTTACATTTAAGCACAGGATGTAGAAACTATCAATTATTTTTCGTTTTTTTTCTTTTCGCTTATTGAATAATATTGTTATAATTATTGCTTCGGCGCGGCGCGCGCAGATTAAGTACCGTTAGCGTAAACTCGAACTCGTTTCGGCGGGCGTTGTCTTTGTGTTTGTGTGTGGATATTGCCTATGAATGTATTTTTAGGCGGTGTTTGTGCATTCGTTTCAATTAAAAGCGCCATTAGCCTTTGTTCCACTCGGCGCACAAATGCAATTCATGCTCGCGATTCATTAACGAGCGTATTTTTAATTAATTCCTTATCGTGTATTTCAATCAACGTCTTCATCGAAGAATCTATAGCCGGACAGCGTGCGTTCATCAATGCGGCGATGTACACTGCGGTCGAGGTCTTCGTGGCCGTGCCGGGGTTATTAGCGTGTCGTGACTTTTGATATCATGAAGATGTATTTTTATACGGGAGCGCCCCCCCTCGGGCGGACGTCGGGCCCGCAGCGCCTCAGGTGCAACAGGTTGTGACGTCACGTGGAGCCACGCGACTGCTCCATTCATAACCGCAGCGCCTGGAGCGTCCATCTCATTATGTACACGCCAAGTTGCGCCGACCTGTGCTTCCACACTCTTGAGTGTGTATAGTATTTTTGTTTTTTTACGTGGATCTGGATTTCCTTATCCGGTTTCTTCGATACTAAAACAAAGAACAAGACAGTTATCACGTTAATAAATTCAAACTTTTGCAACCACACAAAATTACGAGGTTAATACTTTTGTAAACCATAGGCAACCAACAATACATGTCATATAAATTAAATTAGTTCGGATTTTACGCATTGTAGATGGCGCTGTGATGTAAATAGAATTTTCATCTACGCATTTCACGAGATTAGAACGTCAATATAAAATAATTACCAATCCAGAAATGATTCATGACTGAATGCAAATCCTTTGTGCTTAGCACACAAATTAATCAACATTCTTCATACGCGCTCAACATTAATATTAATCATAACACAAATAAGTGCAAATCTTCGTCCTCGTTCTCTTCCAGCTGAACTTAGTTCTCATTCTCGTTGTGTGGAACTTAATTATCCGAGCTTTCGAAGCGCTATCTCGTGGAACATATAAAATACGCGCCGAATGCGACTGCAGCTAAATACGTGGCCGAGTGGTCGTAATGTAAGCAATGTCATGATTTATCTCCGTTGTCCGCGCGCAGCGCTGCTACATAGTTGTCTTCACATTTGTTAACGCGCGCAACTTCTGAATAATAATATTACGGGTATTACGTTATTACGCTCGTAATGATGAAGCGAGGTTTTATTTAAATGAGCAGCGCGCATCGATAGCTAGGTCTCGCGTGTGCGTGTTCGTGTGATGTGTTGATACTGAAATATGAATTCAGATATATATATACGGCGTATGACACAGCGAGGTGCTTGTTTTTTCTCACGAGATGTGCCAACATCCAAGCGATTATTCATGTGTATTGAAGTCCACGCAGCAAATTCAACTCGAAGCGTTTAATTAAACGGAACGAAGCACGGCAACTGCGAAGCAGAGGAAAAAACAGCACTTTATTTGGGCTTAATTTGTGATTTAGACAAAATAAAAATAGGAAATCGTGTTTTGAGTCTGTAGATTAATCAAACCGGTTTCAACTGAGGAAATGATCTATTGCAAGGCGCCAAATATAATTTACTCAATGGTCAAAATATCATTTCTGTGATTATGTGAGCGCGGAGAGCTTTATGAGATCATTAGTAAAAATTTACATCGCGTTTGTGAATAATATAAATCGATCTCGAATCGAGCGCTACGCATTCCCAAATTAATATTAATTATTTTCATGTTCTGTGGTCATTAGTGCCGGCCGAGAATCTTAACTTTATGTCAGCTTAAACCTCTTAAAACCTGAATGAAATCAAGTGAAAGTTTTAAACTCTCCGTGTTGAACATACTTAAGTAAATAAATTTTAATTGGGATTACTTATGTGAAAGAAATCTGCAATCGGTGATTAAAATCAGCAAATCATTGTATTAACGGACAATATTACCCTGGGAATGAGCTCTGGTTGAAAGAAAAGGGCTCGCCGAAAAGCCGAAACACGATATTTGTGTGTTTATTCTCTGTGTGTGTGTGTGTGAGTGTAATGTGTGTTGCGGTGTAAATTAAGGCTTAAACCAGGCGCGTATGTGGTAGGTTTGTGGATGAGCATATTAATAAATTTAATCGGCCGTTTCCCACGATCCATGAATGAATGAACGGTCGCATAAACGCGGTCGGCGGCGATACCTGTTCGTAGATGCGAGAGAGGTCAGTATACCTGCCACCTCTCTTGCGGCGCGCGCTGCTGCTGCTGCTGCCGTAATCGCCGCCAGTGATGAATTAACCGAGCAGGAAATCTGTGTCGGCCGGCGTGCAGGAAACCGATCACCCACTACTCGGACCATTGATTAAATTA